GCATTTTTTGTTTTTTGTTTTTCTCTGACTCATGTCAGACATTTCCAAGACTTTGAACACTGCTGTTTTTCTTGATAAATATTGATTATTTGGTTTTAAACATATCCACTCTTTTTATACAATACTTCATTGAGGCCAAGACAACCTACTTGCTATTTCTCTCCTCCTTTTTCATTGATTACTCTCGAGAAACTCTTTCCTGACTAAATGAATCAGATAAATTTTGTTTCATATTGGAACAAATAAGAGAGCAGTGGTTCACATTTACTGTGTATTTTTGCTGAGCATTTCTTGTTTCTAAGCACTATATTAAGAATTTCAAAAATATACCTATTCACTTACACATCTATCACTTGCTTTTTTCAACAATCTTATAATTGTGAGGATGACCCAGGGCCAGGCAATGTTTCATTCTATTGCGCTAAGGGGCACTGTGAGTCAGAACAGACTTAGCACACCAAACAACAGGAGGTAAATACTATCATTACTTACAATTTACCAGATGAGAAAATTAAGACACAAGGTGCATGTGAAATGTTCTCAAAGTCATGCATTGGGTAATAAATTACAACTATGGAGACCTTTGTAAGCTCCTTGTAGAGCAGAATGAGTTAGACATCGAAGACAATTCTGGATAGAAAATTGCATCTTCCTATTTTCATAAAGGATGATATTTATTCTTCCATTCAACCAGTGTGTATGCCAAGCAACTTGGGGTATAAACATAAAAACAATTCAATCCCAATCTTCACGGGTTCCTCTGTCTTTTCAGCTAGAGAGAATAGTAGGGAATAGTTATGAGACACAGCAATCAGGGTGAATGCTAGGTTTCATGAGGTTACAAAGGAAAAACTTCAAACTCAATGAAGGTATTAGGAGATGAGGCATCAAAGTAGACTTCTTTAGAGTAGATGATGCTCTTAAAGGATAGGTTGAAGATGAATCAGGAGGAAGAGGTTGGAAAGGGCTAGAAGTAGGCCAGTGTTCCTTCTACAAACCACGTGTAAGTTGGCATAACCCAATGCATCAATCAAGGTGATAGGGCAAAAGTGACCCCGGGGAAGTGTGTAGAAACCGTGTCATGGAAGGTCTTGCTCGCCATGCTAAGAAATCAAAATTTTATGCTGCAAGCAATGATAAACCACTAGGGAGTTCTCAGTAGGAGAATGAGAAAATCACATGTGTACTTCAGAACTCTATGCAATTGGTATTATGCCATCTCATATGAAAACGCCAGGCAGACAGTTGAAATGACACCCAAATTCTCAAAAGCAGTAGAGGGAAAAACCAAACATAAACATTTTTCAAGTTCCATTCACTTTGCACTACAAAATCAGATATAAATAATAATAGTACTAAATAACAACAACGATAATTAACATGTTGATTGTACACTGTGGCCCAGCCATTCTTCCAAGGATATTATATTTATAAATTCATTTAACTCTTGAAACAACCCTTGGTTTTAATCTTTAGTTATGGATTAAATTATGTACTCCAAATCTGTCTTGAATTCCTGTACTGGTGGATGGAATCCTGTTTGGAAAAAGGAGTTTTCTTCGGTTGTGTTAATGGTATAGGGTGGGTCCTAAACCTAATGGCTTTTAAATTTTAAAAAGAGCAGATTAGTCCTCGCTTCACAGCACATATTCTAAAATTAGAGCAATACAGAGAAGATTAGCATGGCCCCTACACAAGGAAAATATGAAAATTCATGAAGCATTCAATATTTTTTCCCAATAAAGCTGTGTGTGTGTGTGTGTGTGTATTTAGAGAGAGAGAGACAGAGAGACAGAAAGAGAGAGATCAGATTGGCCATAGAGAGAAGCACATTCAATGGGGAAAAGTGGGTACCATGTAAGGATCATCTACCAACTAAGAAATGCCCAGGATTACTGACAAAAATAATTGACTTAGCTAAAACCCTGATTGGACTTTGAGTCTCCGGAACTAGAAATAAATAAAAGTCTGTTCTTTAAAAGTTGTGATGTTTCTGTTACAGCAGCACTAGATAACAAAGATGCCAAAAGCCAAACCTAACCAGTTGCCCTCAAGTCAATTGCAACTCCTGGCACCTCCACATTTTCAGGGATCAACAGCCCTCTGTAGGAGTTTTCAAGGCTGTAGACTTATAGACACATCGCCAGGTCTTTCATCCAAGGCACCTCTAGAAGCATTTGAATCGCCAACCTGTCAATAGTTGAGCACTTAATCAATTGCACCATGTAGGGGCTGTACCTAAGTGGAGCCCTGGTGACATCATGTTTACTCATTGGGCTGCTAACCGCAGAGTCAGCGGTTTGAAACCACCAGCCATTCCATGGGAGAAAGATGAGGTTGTCTACTACTATAAAGCATTACAGTCTCAGAAACCCACAAAGACGGCTCTACCCTGCCCTTTGGGCTGTTATGACTCCAAATTGACTCGGTAGCAGTGAGTTTTTGAGGGGCTACTAGTAACAAGAGTAAAAACCAAAGCGAACACTATCTTGATTCCATCTGATCCCGATGTAAAGCCATCCTATTGAGCAAAGTCGAACTGTTCCATAGGATTGCCAAGCCTGTAAAATCCTTACAAAAGCAGACTGCCTTGCCTTTCTCCCCTAGAATAACTGGTGATCTGCCAACTTTTGTTGACCGTCCAGCGCTTAATTTCAGGTAAGTAGGGAGCTGGGTAGTATTTATTTGTTGCAAAAGAAGACTCTTGACAAAACGGATTGAAACAGCAGCTTCCACAGTGGGCTCAGACATAACAATTGTGAGGACGGCACAGGACAAGCAGTATTTCGTTCTGTTGTACACAGGGTTGCTGTGGGTCAGAACCAGAGTGATAGCACCTAACAATTTGATAACTGTGGTAGTTATATAATCTCATGTCAACTTGATAAATAAAGTGTAGGGATGGGGTTTAGCCTCTCAGTTTGCAGCTTGATGACCTCAATGGAAGGCACAACCAAGATAAATGGCTCACTAAGTCTGGATCCTCCCTCTCCCTCCACCTTTCCTGTTGGAGAGCCACTTTCAGAGAGCTGGAGGAGCCATGTGGAGAGCCATGCCAGTGCTGAGATGCTTCCAGTGCCATTGGATTCACAAGACTTTGTGCCCACTGGCCTGTGATCTTCCTGCATTTTGTATCATTGCATGTGGCTTACTGAGTCTGAAGAAGGATTTGGGGGATTGTATTGCACTTATGGGCTAATGGCTGACGGATGGACTTGATCTGGATTTCTCTTTGATAGAAAGTTCTTTCTTATCCATCCACGAGTGTCTCTGGATTTGTTTCTCTAGTCCACTCAGTCTAACAACAAGAGATGTCTACCTTGAAAAGTAAAAGCTCTCCTGTCGTGGTTGTGGTTGTTAGACACCATCAAGCCAGTTGTCACCTCAGAGCAGAGCAGAACTGCCCCATGGAGACCCTTGGCTGTGATCTTTAGAGCAGCAGACCGCCAGCCTTTCCTGCCCGGAAAGGTACTGTGGGCTCAAACAGTGAACGTGTTGGTTGGTTGGAAGGTTCGATAGGTTGTGCTTTATACGCTCTCCTGTATGCTGCCCTCTCCCCTTTAGGAGAGGAAAGTCGGAGTCTGTGAAAAGAGACCAGACAATCATAAGTCGCAGTGACTTGACGGACCTTTGACTCAGATTTCAGACTCTGCGGTTGTGGCTGTTGTTGTGGTCACTCTTGTTGTGGACACTCGAGTCAATGCAGACTCCTGGCTGCCCAGTGTGTCTGAGTGGAGCTGTCCCACAGGTGTTTAAAGCTGAAATCATGACAGAGACAGATCACCAGGTCTTTCCTCCGGCACTGCAACTGATAGGTTCAAACTTCTGACTTTTCTGTGAGCAGTTCAGCACTTTTAACCATTGCAGTCCCAGGATCCTTAAAATTATGGCCTCGATTAAAAAAAAAATCCTTCCACGGGCCCCACTGTATAATCCCTATGTGGAAAATAAGCACTCTTCCCCCTTGCTAGGCGGCCCCAGAATGTGCTTAGACTGGAGGCCATCCAGGGCCTGCTTGCTGGACTCCTCATGGGGCCTTCTGAAAGCCAGAGCCAGGCTCTGTTCATCAAGCATGAGTTCTAAGCAGATAATCGTTCACTAACAGCATTAGTGTACAGGGCTTGCTCCTGTGGAGTGGGATAAACCATGGTAGGCTTGACTGCCCAATGTGTCAGGCTGCGGAAACAGCCCTCCAGAGGACACTACTCACCCCAAGCCCATTAACCAATTACTCAGAGCCTCTTTAGTCAATGAACTCTTCCGATGTACTAATTGGAGCCCTCTCGGAGGAAGCTTGCAGGGAGCAGCGAGCACTCGGTGGCCAGGTGTGGCTCTCTGGGAAACCGCAGGAGCCATCAGACTGGAGACATAGGAAGGCATACTTGTGAAGACCACCAGCTCCAAGCCCAAGGTGTCTGGATTCAAACCCTAGCTCTGCTACTTATGAGCTACATGGACTCAGCTCATCCAGCCTCAGTATTGACACCTATGAAATGGGTCTAATGGCGCCTCTTTCATGGGCTTGTTTGGAGTCTCAAATGAGGACTGTGCCTGGCACACAGAAACCATTCAATAAATGGTAGCTGGGATTTCTTACTGTCTTCACATATTCCTGCAGAACAACCCACCTTAGTCCCATAAATATGATATTTTTAAAACAAGTACAGGAGACATGCACTTACTCATATTTGATAACAGGGTTTTATTTTTCCTGGCCAGTAAGTGCTAAAACATACTAGCTCTTAACTTTTACAGCAAACAAATGGTATCCATAGCAGATTACGTTAAAAATGAACATGTTTTCTCCATTGAGTACCTTTAGGAATTTGGTGGAACACGGTGACAAAGACTGTCAACTCTCTGAGAGCACAAACTGCATTCCCACTGATTTTAGCACCACATACCTCCCCTAAAAGAGCCCCAGAAACACAATGGTTAAGTGCTCACTGAAAGGTCGGTGGTTTGAAGCAGCCACTCCACTGCACAAAGATGTGGGAACCTGCTTCCAACGAGACTGCAGCCTTGGAAACCGTATGGAGAGGTTCTATTCCATCCCACAGGGTTGCTTTGAGTTGGAATCAACCCAATAGCAACACGTATATCACATAAGGCATATTTACTCTCCATACTTCCATAAAGATGACAACCATAGAAGCCTATGGAACTAGCAGGTCTAATCGGTCCTACAGGGTCACACAAAATACATGTATACCCAAGAACTATCACCTAACAGAAACATCACAATTAATGCATGGCTGGATGGAAAGAATAGATTTCAAAATGCTTTGACTATTGTGGCAGTTAGGTTTTATGTCAATTTGGGTGGGCCAGGATTCTCCCATGATATCATCTAACCTAGTGGTGTCAACTGCATGATGGGATCTTCTGTGATGCTTCCCAGCAGCTGTGGGGAAAATAGACCTCCTTAATCTGGTCGCAGTCTTGATATGACTGAAGGAGGCTTCGTTCAGGTTGGGGCCCCCTCTTAGTAGAAATCAACAGCGTGGCAGCGAGCTGATTTCTTCTGCAGGATTTGGATCCTTCATCTGGTAGGTCCACCTGCTATATCATTTGTCCATCCCTGGAGTCATTAGCAGACATTAAGTTTGGATTCATTCACCTCAGCATCCAATAGCCTGAAGTCTTCCTGCTTCATCATCCTACTTACATCAGTCCCTGCAGCTAGAGAGGAGTCAGGAGAAGTCATCAGCTTGTTTCTGACTCACAGGCTTTAACCAGACTGGGCTTACTCGCTTCCACAATGGTATGAGCCAATTCTTTATACTCTCTATATATATACATATACATGCAAGTGTCACTGTTTTGTTTTTTCTTCTCTAGAGAATCCAGCTTATCACAACTACCAACATTGCAAAGAGAGAGTAGATGACAGCTGTGCCATCAGTGGAGCAGCAGCAGAACCAAGAGCCAGAGCACAGAACAGGCTGACGGACTTCTCAGCCCACAGAGAGCGAAAAGCTAACTGCCTTTGTGCCGGAGGCTGATTTTGCCGAGTGGAGTACCTCTGGGCACTCAAGGAAGTTGGGCTTGCTGACCCACAAAAGTGGAGCAAAGTGTCTATGAGCTGAGGCTTACCGGAGTGGAGCACCTCTGGAGACAATTTAAAGAGCCGGATTGACTGGCCCACAGATCTTGAGCTGAATGTCTTTGGGTGAGGCTTACAGTAGAGTGGTATGGGCCTTTATTAACAGATCTCAAAGAACCTGTAACCCGTCATCATGAGCAACATTACCTTGGCACTTCTCATTGATATTACAACTTGTTAACTTCTATAAGAAACCCTTTAATCATGAATTTTCTCTGCAGGTTCTATGTAGCCATTGAAACAGATATTAGATCCAAGAAATGTAAAATAGAGAACACTTATGAAAACAAGAATTGAAACTGGCTCTTCCACATGGAAGGTGAGACTTCTGCCATGGAAGTACCAATCCCTTTGTCACAGAAAGAAAAAACAGCTTAATAGAAAGAGAAAGCCTACAAGCTAAGACTAAAGGCTACTAATCACTGAACGCTAGGTTGATAATGAAATGGCTGGCGCCAAGGAGCTCTGGGTAGTACATCCCTGATGTCTGCTATTCCCCTAATTTGATAGTTAATATGAACTTTATTTTTAGTTCATCTTACTATATGGCTATGAAACTTTTCATATACCTAAGCATAATCATCTCATCCATTTGACTGTAAGCTCCTTGCTCCAGAGCCATCCAAAC